TCTCTCTTTCTCTCTCTCTCCCTCTCTCCCCTTCTCCATCCCTTCTTCCTTCTCTCTTTTTCTGTCTCTTATCTCTCTCTGTGTCTCTTATGTTTAATGTCTCCTTACCTACAAGTTCCTTCCCTGCTGCCTATGCACATGTCCAGATCTCCACTGTCCCCCTCCTCCTTAAACATCCTTTATGTGACTATTTCACCACCACAAGCTATTGTCCCATAGCTATCCCATCTATGTATTTCGAGGGGGGCGGGACAGCTAGGTGATACAGTCGATAGAGTGCCAGGCCTGAAGTCAAAAGGACTCATCTTCCTGAGTTTAAATCTGGCCTCTGACACTTACTACCTGTACGATGCCAGATGCTGTTTCATTTTTGTTTTTGAATCTCCAGTATCCAGTGCCTGGCAAAGATCAGGTGTTTGATAAATACTGGCTGAGTGATTGCTTCTCTTCTCCTTCTATGTCTTCTATGATTTTATCAGCTCCTATAGTTTTAATTGTCATCTCTACAAAGATGGCTCGTAAGTTGATAACTCCAATGCGAATCCCTCTACTGAGCTCCAGTCCAATATCACAAACTGCCAGCTAGACAGCTCTACTTGGACGTCTCATAGGTAACTCAAACTCGATACATAAAAAATGGAACTCATCTTACCATTTAATCCTCCTCCTCCTCCTTCAAAGTTTCCTATTTATGTCTAGGGCACCACCATCCTTTGAAGTTACCCAGGATGACTCATGACCTCCAAGTCTTTTTCAATTAATCATCCTCCCTCATTCCCCCATAGTTACTTATTTGCCAAGTCTAGTCAGTTCTATTCACAGCATTTCTCGTGACCATCTCCTTCTCTGTGCTCGCATGGCCTTCCCTGCTTTCATGTTCTCCTTTCTCCAATTTATCCTCTACGAAGCTGTCTAAAATCATTTTCCTAAAGCACGGGTCAGACCACATCATTCTTTGGTTTAAGAATCTTTGAGTGTCTTTTCATTATTTCTAGGAAAAATACAAATTAGTCAGTCTGGCTTTTAAACCTATCACAGCCTGACTAGAACCAGCTTTCCCAAACTTATTTCCTATTACTGTCTTTTACACACTCTCCATTTCAGCCAAACCATTTCAGTGGTGGGTCTCTGAATTCAGTCTTCCACCTCCTGCCTTTGTTTTTGTATAGGCTATTTTGTATGTCACTTAAATCTTACCTCCTTCCCATAGAACCCTTCTTTCTTTCTTTCTTTCTTTTTTTCTTTCTTTCTTTCTTTCTTTCTTTCTTTCTTTTCTTTCTTTCTTTCTTTCTTTCTTTCTTTCTTTCTTTCTTTTTTGCCTGGCCTACAGCAGTCAAGTTTTAATTTTTTAAATTAAATTAAATTTTTAACATTTTAAAAATTAATGTATTTTTAGTTTTCAACATTCACTTTCATAAGCTTTTAACTTTTTCTTCCCTTCCCTCTCCTCATCCCTCCCCAAGACAGGGTTCAATCTGATACAGGCATAAAAGCCTTCTTTCAAGAAGACTTTATCATGCCTCTGTATTGGCTTTGTAATCTCATGATCTGTTTTCCTTCTGGATCCAAAGTCAAACAGGTAGCATGTATCAGAATTAAGATTCAAACCCAGATTCTCTGACTCCAGAGCAAATATATTTTTCCATTGTACTATTCTCTGTTCCCTCAAAGCAGCTGTTCACTGAAGTTGTTTAAGAACAAAATAAAAGTAGCCTTATGAAATTTCTAAGCATCCAGACCCAAGTAGTCTGGAAAGTGCAGAGAAGCATGAAGATTAGGCAGTTGGGAGGGAAGAAAGTAAGGGAAATATTTTAAAATTCTGTAGAAGGGTTCAAGCTCAGTTCAAGTTTTGGGCAGAAGCCTGGGCCATTGCTGATGTTATCAGTACCAGATTGCCCAGGGGAAAGAGAAAGGCATTTTCTATTTGTACAAAGCTGCAGATAAAAAGGAGACTAGAAAAGACATATGTTTCCAGGTTGGTTTGAAGATGGCCTTGCCTGGAGGCTGGCAGATGCATTAGATGTCATCTTGATGATTTTTCCAAATTTTTTTCCTTTTAATTATGATCTATGTTTCCAGAAGCAATTTTGACGGGAGGATTTTCCAACCATTTAAAGTAGAAAGGGATCTTAACCAACTTCTAGTCCAATGCCCTTAACTTTATAAAAACAGACTGAGGAGCATGGTTTAAATAGCATACACAAAGGCTGCATAGCTTGTTAATGGCAAAAGTTGAAACTTAGAATTCAGACCTTACTGAAGAATCACTGAATCTTAGAGTTGGACCAGCTGAGATCTTCATTAGTTGAGACTTCGATCATTATGAAAACTGTGTCTTGTTTGTCAGTGGAAGGCCTTCCTCATTTTTAGTTATCTTCATCACTGGTGTGGTTGTGGTGGGCAGATCCATTGCATTAAAATAGCCAATGGTCTCAAAATGAAGAAACCAAGAGAATGACTTACTATGCATCATTCCCCATCATAAACTCTATGTTCGAGTCAAACTGGCCACTTGATGGTTCACAAACTCTGTCTTCCATCTCCTACCTGTGTGTATCGCATACATGGAACTCTTCCCATTCCCAGTTCATTTCAAGTCCCAACACAGATTCTACCTCTTTTGGCAAGCCATTCCCCATCTTAATTGTTAGAGCTCTCTTTCTCTAGAATTATCTTTAATTTATTTATCTAGGCACACACTCTACTCTCCCTCCCCTGAACCCCCATACAAGTAGAATATAAGCTCCTTGAGGGCAGGGACAGTTCTTTGTTTTGTTTGAAATTTCTAAGCATCCAGACCCACTGAAAAGTGCAGAGAAGCATGAAGATTAGGCAATTGGGAGGGGGAAAGTGAGTTAAAGATTTTAAAGTTCTGTAGAAAAGTTCAGGCTCAGTTCAAGTTTTGGGCAGAAGCCAAAAAAATCCACAGATTCCGTGACAGTGCCTGGCATCTAACAAGTATTTAATAAGTACTTACTGAAAATGAATTGAAATGATTCAGCAGGTTGGAGTACCCATCCTCACTTCTCGACACATTAACCTTCTTGAAGGGAGGAGTTTAGAGCATTGGCAGAGAATGACTAAAAGTCCACCTGTGATGGGCATACCGAATATCATAGCTTTGTCTAGGGCATGTAGAGGACAAAGCAGTGACTGTTTTCACATGGGTAGCTTGCTCAAGGTGACAATTCAATTTTCCATCTTGAAGTTTGTATACTCAGAGATAAGATTGGGGTACAAGGAAGAGTAATGTCAGATTTGCCTTATTAAATTTCACTTGTAAAGGTCATTGAAAGATTACTAGCACTCTGAAATGAGATATAAAGATTAAGGTAGGGCATGCAGTGTTTAAAGAAAAGCTTAGAATGAGGGAGGCAGAAGTGAGATGCCTTTTTTTTTTGGTTTTGCCTCAGACAGCTTCCCGCCCCCCCCCCCCCGCCCCCCGCCAAGACCAAACATTTTAGCTTCATCTCAATGCCAAATCAGAATCATCTGTCATCTTGAAATTTTTCACTTCCGAGTGAATTCACCTATAGACTTAATTGCTGCTCTTGGGTTATGGAAGGAATGGACTGTTCTCCCTGACAGGGCTAGAGAGAGCCCTGTATAATTAAGCAGAGGCCATGATGGTTTAAAAAGTCAAAGAGGAGTGTGATTAAAGGAGAGATGAGAAGAAAGCCTGTATTTGGTAAAAATGAAGACAGTTCACTGGGCACTTGGCTGCAGGATGGAGTTCTGAGATGGCTGTATATGTGTGGGAGTCTCCTTGGATGCTCTGCTCTAAAGCCCTGGGCTTTGGATTCTGGGTGGAAGTACACTCGCTATTATTCTTTTCCAGAAAATTTCCAGGCTGACTCTCCCTTGATACATGAAAATCACTGGGAAAAGAGTTAAGCTCTAAGCCAACCTCCAAATGAATTCCAGATGTTGCTTGTTTTTGTGTGTTTGTTTTAGATTCTCCAAGCCTGAAGAGACTTAAAAGTCATCCTGCCTCTTTCCTCTGAAGCACTAGCAGCCCCAACAAGGGGTACCATAAGTCTCTCTGCCTGAAGTCTTCCAGTGATGAGGAACCATTACTTGCCAAAGAAACCATTTCTGTGTTCAGGCTTCTCTAATGCATGGGCTCATAGATTTAGGGTTGAAAGGGATGGCAGAGGTCATCTGGTCCAGTGCTCTCATTTTACAGACAAGGAAACTGAGGGGTATGGAGGTGAAGGGACTTGCCCAGGGCAAATAGAAGAGTCTGGATTCGAGCTGACAACATTCTTTCCACTTCACCATGTTCCTTTTCCATCTATTATCGGGAAGTTCTTCCACGTGCTAAGCTGAAATCTGGCTTCCTGTAACTTTCATCCATATGTTTTCAGTCTTCTCTCTGGGACTGAGGTGAAGAAAAGTAAGAGGGACTAGAAATATTCCCCTGCAAATGTGTTCTGAAGAGAGGGATTTGCATCTCCTTTTTCTTTTGAACCTATTTTTCTGTTTCTCAGTTGTTTTCAGTCTTTATGAGCCCATTTGGGGTTTTCTTGGCAAAGACACTGGAGTGGTTTGCCATTTCCTTCTCCAGCTCATTTTACAGATGAGGAAAGTGAGACAAACAGGGTTAAGTTACTTGCTCAGGATCACACAGCTAGTAAGTGTCTGAAGTCAGACTGGAACTCAGGAGGAAGACTCTTGGCCTTGGGAGTCAGGCTGAGTTATAACCTTCTTTCAGACAATTACTAGCTGCGTCACCCTGATCAAATCATTTAATCTCTCTCTGCTTCAGGTCCCCTATTTGTAAAATGGGAAAAATGATTGCACTGACCTCACAGTCTCCTTATGAGGGTCAAATAAGAGAATTTACAAAAAGTACTTTGCAGACCCTGAAGGCAATAGATAAATGCTAGTTATTATTATTGCTCCATGCAAGGTGGGTGGCACCCTTTACTCACACCGTCCCTTCCCATCTTTTCACAGGCATGTCTCTCCTACGCAGAGCTTGGGGCAAGAAATTTTTTTTAACCTAACTTTGGGACTTTACATTGACGTCTATAAAACTTCATTTCAATCTTTCCTGTCAGAATGCATTTTAGGAGGGACATCGATAGTCCAAAGGAGGCCAAACAACATAGTAAGTAGACTCAAAACTGTGGCCCAGAAGGTTCAGTTCCAAGTCCAAGTAAGGTTTAGCTGGAACAAGAGAAGTCCTCATGATTGCTGTCATCAGACTTAGAAAGGATTGTCATGTAGTAGAAGCTTAGGCTTCTCCTCCTCTTTCTTCTCTCCTTCCAAAGGGAAGATCCAGGGCCAATGGGTGAAAGTTACAAGGAAGCGAGATTTCAGCTTAATATGCGGAGGAATTTCCTAGCAATAGATAGAGTCAGGAATATGATGAGGAGGGAAAATGCTGTCTCTGGAGTCAGAGGATCTCAGCTCACATTTCAGTTCTTCTGTTTACCTTGGGTCATTTCTCACATTTCTCTGGGCCTCAGTTTCCTTGTCCTGAAGGAAGTGCGATATAATAGAAAGAGAGCTAGGAGTCCTGATGACCCAAATTCTAGTTCTGCCCTTGACATCTACTGGCTATTTGACCTTGGGCAAATCAGGACTCCTCAGTGCTCCAGGCAACCATTTAAGACTCTTAAGTGGCAGAGAAGATGCCTATTTGTCTTGGTAGAAAGAGTTTCTTAGACCAATCAAATCGCAGGTTTGATCCAAAAACGTTTTTGTCTTGTTCTATTCCACTCATTGCTCCAGCCTACTGAGGCATTTAGGGATTTAATTCCATCACTCATTCTACTAGCTATTTCTTCCAACTTTGATGCTGTGTATACCTTCTCTGTTTTAATCCAAATCATTGGTTAAATTGACTGATGAAAGGAAGAAAGAAGGGAAAGAAAAGGAAAGAGAAAGGTAAAGGAAAGAAGGGAAAAGGAGAAGAGAGGAAAGGAAAGGAAGGGAGAGGAAAGGAAAGATAAAAGAAAGGAGAGGAAAAGAGAGGAAAGGAAAGGAAAGGAAAGGAAAGGAAAGGAAAGGAAAGGAAAGGAAAGGAAAGGAAAGGAAAGGAAAGGAAAGGAAAGGAAAGGAAAGGAAAGGAAAGGAAAGGAAAGGAAAGAAAGGAAAGGAAAGGAAGAAGGAAGGAAGGAAAGGAGCTTAAACCAACTAACAGTGGTATGACTTCTCCTTCCAAAAAAATCTCTCCCAACCCTCTAGGTGCTATAGTACTTGAAATTCCACCATTATAAAATCATTCCTAGGTATTGTTTGTCCTATCCCTGTGGGTCTGCTTTAGAAATACAAATAATCCTGGAAAGGGGAAAAAACCCACTGCCAGTAATACTGTAGTGCAAATTAGTTTATCAATTTACTCTCCTGCAGGACAGAAAGACCCAAGGGAAGAGAAGTCATTCAAAGAGAGAACAGGAAAGCTGGAAATGGAATGTGGGAGTTGAGAACCAAAAATAAACTTCCTGTTCATTATAAGAACTGGCCCTCAACCCTACCTCAATCTGGCTTCCAAAGAGTAGAACTTCAGCCTTTGCTGTCTTTTTTTAGTTGAATGCTTTATGAGTTATAGCATCACTTATTTCTCCATAATGACCCGAGACTCCTCCAACTAAAATACCAGTGAAATGTCTGGCACTGCATTATTAAGTAAGGGCTGCAGAGCATTTCCATAATTGCTCAAACCCAAAGGTAACAGCTAAATTGCCACTTCTATTCTACCCTTCATCAGCAAAACCTTCTTCTCTGTGCAACCATCCAAATTATTCACACTGACTCAAGAAGTAGTGGGTTCTGGGTGTAATGGGAATTTTTAAATTTTTATTTCCTTTTATCCTTCCTGCAACTTTTGGTGATCTAAAAGGGCAACACTATCCTCCCAGTCCTTCAGGCTCCTAACCTAGAAGTCAACCTGGATTCCTCACCTTCAATCTTTTGCCAAGGCCTGCAGGTTTCACCTACGCAACATCTTGCAAACACAATCCCTTCTCTGTTCTGACACTGCCACCATACTGGTGAAGGCCTTCATCACCTGGTGGCTGGACCAGGCACTACTACAATAGCGGATGATGGATCTGCCCACTTCGAGTCTCTCCCCACACCAATCCATCCTCTATTCAGCCACTAAAGTGGTTTTCCTAAAAAGCGGGTCTGATGCCTCCCACCCCACTCAATAAACTTCAATGGCTTCTTATTGACTCTAGGAGCAAATACAAAATGTTCTGTTTGGCATTCAAAGCCTTCATAACTTAGCCCTTTTCTGCCTTGAGGGCAGGGACTGTCTTTTGCCTCTTTTTGAATCCCAAGCACTTAGCACAGTGCTTGGTATATCATAGGCGCTTAATAAATATTTATTGAATTGAAAGTCTGTCTTCTGTTAATATTAACCTCACCTGACCAAAACCTATCCCATGGGATGTAAAAATTTAGTTAAAAACTTAAACACATCTTAGACAAAGAAGTCAGAGGAAGAATCTCAACTATCCCTGATTCCTTGGTTACATGTAAATCTTCCTCCTCAATTAGCTTTCTTGTGAACTCTCTAAATATAGTTTAATCTGTAACCCAACTTAGTTTACTTACAGATTTTGTTTGACAAAGTTTATTTTCTTAGGGGATGTATGAGACTATGACTCTGTTTAATTAAGTTTGTTCAACTTTTATGGCATTGAAAGAAGCATGGGCTTATGGGTCTGTCTTCTGTTTAACTTTTCTGGCCTAAAGCGAATATACAAAATTGCAATATGTAAAAAAATTATTTCTCTGTTACTCTGATGTAATTTTGCCTTTAAGAAGGCAGGTTAAAATCTTAATGATAATTCAGTTTTTCTCTGAGGCCTGAACCTATGCTTAAACATAATAATAAAACCTAGGTTTTTACTTCCATAATTTCTGCATTGTAATAAATATATTTTGACAGCAGTTACCTAGCACATGAACTCAGAGAGGAGATATTTCTCCCATAACAAAGGGTACATGAGATCTGTTTTCGAGTATTTGAATAGCTATCTGTGGACAGTAGATTCCTATCCGGTTATGGGTCTGACAATACAGCTTCCAAGATTTTGTGATTCTAGTTCTGGGCTGCTGGAATCATGGAAAGACAAGGGAATATTTGATAAGATAAAGTAAAAAGCCAACAGCTCTCAGTTCAACTCATTCCAAATTCTATAACAGCGTGAAGCAGCTAAAAAAATATAGGAGAAAACTGTTTGATATCAAACAATAGCCTTATTTGTTCTGTGTGGTGAGTGAAGGGGAGTAGCTCTAGTGGAAATAAAATATGGGAATCTTGAAAAGAAAAGCAAAGGCTGAATAAGAAAACCAGAAATAAATCTAGAGTGAGAAGGAACTACCTAGGGTCCACAATGTTCTTCCCAGCAAATGACCTCTAGCCATCATGGTCAGATGTAGCCAGATGGTCACCCACTAGAGAAGAAATAGGCTCCAATTATGGTGGAATTTCCCTCTACTTGGAGATGGAAAATGCTGTACTGTAACCATGGCAATGGAGCTGTGGGAGTGAAAAGGCAGCAGTTGTTGATAATAGGTCTAAAAAGAGCATTGAGCCTCTTTCCCACCAGAAACTGCTTGTAGGTGGTAGATAAAGGCAAGGGGAGCCCAGGTGCCTGGGCTAGTGTGCATACCTAAAATAGCTTTTAGGCCCTCTGGAAGGAGGGAGAAGGAGGGAGCCAGGTGGAACTTCATCATGGCAGAGCAGTGCAGCTCTGAGAAGGCTCAATCCCTTTGTGAATGGCTTGGAATACCCAGTGGCAAAGTTTGTTATTTTGTCCTAAAAGCAATAGGGAGCCACTGAAGCTTCTTGAACGGAGTCATATAGCCAGATCTGCACTTCAGGAATGATGCTATTTTGGGAATTGCGTAGAGGGTGGATTGGAGAGGTATGGAACTGTATTCAAGGAGACCAGTTAGGAGGCCTTTGCAAGAGTCCAGTCTAAAAGTCACAGAAAGAAAAAGGAATGCTCATTTCCATGCATGGAGAATCGGGCGGGGGTGGGGTCTTCATTAATATCTTAGTTCATTGAAGTGGTCTATGAACTCTGAAGAATAAAATGTCACACTTTATTCTATTTCTGTTTCTCTGTCTCTTTTTCACATACACACACACACTACACACAGCACAGCACAGCACATATTTATTTAAATGTAAGATAACCCACGATTCATATGCATACTGATGCTTTTTCAGACAGAAGGGAGAGAGGAAGCAGTCCACCGATTGGCGAGGGCAGTAAAGAGGCCTCTTAACAACTGATGTGCCCTGTAAGTTCTGCCATGACTAATTTGCAGTCCAACACTTGGCAAACAGAGAGGTGAGTGTTGTTTTTTAACCTGGGGATGATGGGAGAGAAAAAAGAGAGGATATCATATATTGCACTTTGTAAAACCTGGACAAACTGTTCCACGAGTTGAGTTTCTTGGGGATGGGAAAGATTTGTTTTTCCTGTACTGGGAAAAAGATGTTTAGGAGAAGTGCAAATGTTCTCTTTGCTTCTTGGGTTGTTGAGAATTTCTAGCTGTGGTAATAGGAAGAGATCAAAGAATCCCATTTTTAGAGCTGGAAAGAAACCAGAGGGTTGTTTTTTAAATCAATGACCTGACTAAAGGAAGGCATAGACATCATGCTTATCAAATTTGTTCCCAACACAAAGCTGGAAGGAGGAATAACACATTCAATGACACAGTCTGGATCCAAAAAGATTTTGACAAGCTAAGTATTGGACTGAAGCTAATGTAAGCCTTCCTTCACCTGCTGACCAGATAGCATATGTTGCCTCGAGGATTTAGGACCTCAGGAGTGCTTGTGGTAGCTGAGTAGACTTTTTCTCAGAGGTCACAGGAGCAGTGATGTCTTAAACATGATGTTGAGAATTCTGAGTGGAGACAGATGGAGAGAATCCATTTTGCCAAGCCACACAAAAGTGCAGAGTTGAGTTAGAGTGCTAGAGTGGAACAGGGAACTTCCTTCTTCCAACCTGCAATCCCAGGGATTGTGTTTTTTTTTCTTTTCTTTTTGGTTAGGCAATTGGGGTTAAGTGACTTGCCCAGGGTCACACAGCTAGTAAGTGTCAAGTGTCTGAAGGCCAGAGCTCTATCCACTGCGCCACCTAGCTGCCCCAGGGATTGTGTTCTTGATGCAGATATTGGAAGTGGGATCGCATAGATCCCTGTCCTGATTGCCCAGAATGAAGTGATCCCCACAACAACATCTTGTAGAAGAGAAGATGACCACCAACAAGAAGACACTGTAGATGAAAGGACTGAGAAAGCTCAAGATGCTCACAATTGCAAGTTGTTCAGATAGTGCAGGATAGAAGTAAAAGGGAAGCATCTGGCTCAGCAATACCCCAAGTCTCTCTAGATCCTTTGCCTCCCAGGAAAGTATAATAGAAGTGATGGATTGTTATATTATTCATTAATAAGCACTTAGGAGTCTTTTATGGTAAAGGAATAAATAGCTGTACTATACCTGTTGTCTACTACTTTGTACTCAGAGTAACTTCCTAGAAGATTGAACGGGCTCTTTAGGAAGAGGCTGAAGCACATGTATCACCAGAAGCAGCCCAAGCTCGAGGTCCATCAGAACGATTCAGGGAGTACATTCAGCTCCGTGTTCAGCTCCATCACCCCTGCTACACTAAGAGGATGGAATTCAGTAGGGATAAATGTAAAGTTCTACATTGGCATTTTAAACTGCCAACTTCACAAGGACCAGATGAGGGCAGGGCATGGCTAGGCAGAAGTTTGTCTGAAAAAGGATGAGAGGTTTTACTGGACTGCTGGCTCAATATGAATGGCTGTATGACGTGGTAGCCAAAAAAAATATTGTGACTTGGGGATATATTGAGAAGTAGGGCTTCTAGGAATAATAGTGCCTTGGGCAAACCACAGCTGGATAACTGTGTTTAGTGCTGGGCTTTGCCTTTTAGGAAGGTCATTGATAAGCTGAAGAGTGATCAGAGGATGATGAAAAGAATAGTCAAGAGCCCTGAGTCCTTGTCATATAAGCATCAGGTGAAGGAACTGGAAAGTTTTAGAGAAGGGAGGAAGAAATTCAGGAGGGACATGATGGCTGACTTCAAGTGCCTGCAAGACTGCTATACAGAAGAAAGATTAGGCTTGTTCAATATGGTCCCCAAGGGTAAAACCAGGAAAGGTGGATGCAAGCTACAAAAGGACACATTTTTGTCTAGATCAGTGGTATTAAACTCAAATAGAAACAAAGGTTGAGGCAGCTGGGTGGCACAGTGGATAGAGCACTGGACCTGGAGTCAGAAAGACTGATCTTCATGAGGTCAAATCTGGCCTCAGATACTTGGTGTGACCCTAGGCAAGTCATTCAATCCTGTTTGCCTCAGTTTCCTCATCTGTCAAATGAGGTGGAGAAGGAAATGGCAAGCACTCCAATATCTTTGCCAAGAAATTTCTAATCGGGATTACAAAGTGTCTGAAACAACTGAACAACAACAACAATAAAGAAACAGGGCACTAAGCCATACGTAAGCCTATCATAGGCTGCAAATTTTCCCAATCTTAGAGCCCGTGAACAGGATCTGTCTTTGAGGACAAGTCTATGTAAGCCTTCCTTTGCTTCCTCGCCAGGAACTGAGTGTTGCCTCAAGGATTCAGGACCTCTGGGTGCCTGTGGTAGCTGAGTAGACTTTTTCCTAGAGGTCACAAGAGCTGTGATGTCTTAAATATGGCACTGAGAAATCTGAGTGGAGACAGGGGGAGAGAATCCATTTTGCTAAGCCACACAAAAGCTCAGAGCTGGGTTGGATTTATCATTTTCTTGATTATCTAGGTCTTAAAAAGTGAGGGGGAAAATTACTAATAATGCAGGTTAAACTTAAAAGTGTGTCAAGAGTACTTTTCCTCCCCAGAGAGCCAAGTGTTAACCATTCACCAGCATAGCTCTGGAACCACTCCTTGGCACCATACTCTCTCCTTTGGAAGCCATCCTATTCTAAGGTCTAAACACCAATTTACTATGAAGCAGGTGGTGTTAAACTGTCAAAAATTTTGTTTCTTAAGTTGTAGACCATCCCTTTCATTGAAAAAAACAAAACCAAACCCATAACAACTTGGTTTTGACTTGTTCAGAAGCAACAACCTTGATTCAGAAGATTTTGAACCAAGGTTATCTCAGGAGAGTCATAAATCCCATGAGAAATTGACTGAGATGATAGTCCTAGACAGATAAACTCCAGAAGCTGTGGAAAGTTCTATCAGCAGGTGAGTAATCCCTATTAGCAGGTAATGATTGGGAAGGAAATACACTAAGAGAACCCACTCAGGAGGGCTCTATCTGTTGGGTTTGTTTGCTTACTCCTTATAAGGAGTTCTAATAGTCTAATAGAAAGGACTCAACTCTCCCCAAACTGTCTTCCTTGATGGGTGGGGTGGTGATTAAACAGTCTAAAAATGTTAGTAATTTATGCATTAAACTGTAAGGAGATTGAGCAACCTTGGCTTTGGGGGCTGTTTCTTTCTCTGACACTTCTTTTGTGCGTATCAGGAAGTCATTCACCACCATCCTCTGTATCTTTGACCTCATTCCTGAATGCTCTCTCTCTTTACCTCTGCCACAAAGTAGGATAGATCTGGAGCCGGAAAGGACCACGGAGGCCATTTAATCCAACACCCTCATCAATGGGGCCCAGAGATATGAATCGCCTAAGGTTACGCGGATAGCAGAGCAAGATTTGAACCCAGGCCAGTTGGTCAAAAAGCCTTTATTAAGTACCCACTATGTGCCAGGCACTGTACTAAGTACTGAGATATAAAGAGAGGCAAAAACAAAAACAAGTCCCTGCTCTCAAGGAGTTTGTAATGGGAGAGACAACATGCAAACAGCTTGGTACAAACGAGATACAGATGAATTGGAGATAATCAACAGAGAAAAGGCATTAACGAAGGAGCACTGCAAAAGGCTTCCTCTAGTAGATGGAACTTTAGCTAAGACTTGAAGGAAGCCAGCGGAGGTTGGAGGCAGGGATGAGGAAGGAGAAAAACTAGGCATGAGGGATAGCCAGTGGAAATGCTGAGAGTCAAGAGATGGCATAAATCTTGTTTGAGGAATAGCAAAGGAAGCCAGTGTCTCTGGATCTCACTGTACCTGGAGAAGAATAAGATGTAAGAAGACTGGAAAGGTAGGAAAAGGCTGGGTTATGAAGGACTTTGAAAGCCATGCAGAGTATTTTAAATTTGATCCTGAAAGTAAAGGAAGCATCAGAGTTTATTGAATAGGGAGATGATATGGTCAGACCTCATTTTTTGAGATCACTTTGACAGATGAGTGGAGAGTGGATTGAAGAGAAACTGAGTCAGAGAGATTGACAACAATAAACAGCCACAACCAAGAGGCATTTGCAATGGTCTGCCTGCCCCAAAGTGGTGTCAGAGAACAGAAGGGGATATTAAGCAATATTAAGAAGATGGAAACTGTAAAACTTGACAGCTGATTAGAGATGGGGGAGGGGAGGACTGTGAGACCGAGGTGTCAAGGAAATCACCTAGATTGGGAGTCTGCATGACTGGGAAGATGGTGGTAGCTTTGACAGCAATAGGGACGTTAGGAAGATGGGAGAGTTTGGGGGAAAGATAATTGTAGAGGACCACAGGTGAGTAGAACTCTGACCCTGATGGCTGTATAAGCCCTCTCAGGTGAGGAGCCTGCTCATTGGCCTGGATGGGTTCTCCACTCCCCAGAAAGAAGGGCGGCTAGGCAAGCTCAACCATAAACAATGTTGCTAGCTCAAGCACAGTCAGCTCCAGCACAAACATGTATCAAGTATTGGGTCATTCTGGGAGCAAGAACTCCATGGTGTTTTCACGGGAACAGCCCGGGAGAAGGACACAGCCAGAAGAATGTTGCAAAGAGATGTGTTTGTTGATGCTTTGATTGGTATTTGTATGAGAAAAAGTCAGTGTTGCCTGTTGGTAAAGATATGTAAATTCTGTTGCTTTGTCCGCTCTTACATTGGGGTATGTTCCCATGAGTCAAAGATATAAAACGCTGTGCTGTGCCTTGAATAAACGGAGCTTCACCGTCTTGTCTCCCTGCCTCTCACTGCTCGGCACGGGTTATCAGGAACTAAGCTGGTACTTGGCATTCCTGGGAGAGTCTAAGACTCTCACAGCCACAGAGCTGGACCCGGACGCACGACAGATAATTTCAGTTTTGGACACATTGAGTCTAACATGTCCAGAAGACACGGAGCTAGCACTTGGCACATGAGAAAGTCAGCCATGACGGTTAACATGGCAAGATGAAAATATTTTTCCATGCTTTAACGTTTCACCTGCTCTCCCTTTCTATTGTTCAGAGAATCACAAAATCGGAGAGCTGGGAAGGATCTCAGAGACCATCTGATTCAACCCTTAACTGGAGTAAGAATCCCCTCTACATGTTGTTATTTGTCTCTGGTTTTCAAAGAGGACCGATGACATCAGGGGTGATTGGATTGAAGTGAAGCAGAGTTGCATAAAGTCATCAGCCTCACTCACTTACCAAGTCACTGAAGTCCAGCAATGGGACAAAACTCGAGATGACTGAAGATGGCCCAGGATGTATTGGATGACTTGGCATCTTCAATAGCTGACCAAGCTCTGAGCATTCCACTGCACCTGCTTCAGCAGCCTTCATGGCAGTTGGAACAAATTGTTCTAATCCACCTGTTCTACCAGGTGAAGTCTTCATATGTTTGGGGTAGACATCTTCTAATTTATCAGTGGGTTTAAGGCCCATCAATTATCTTCAACCTTGTTTCCGCCAAGACAGCTTACCAGGGCTGATGTCCATGCTATGGCTTCTTGGAGCCACAGGGGAGAGTTTAGTGCCAGGTAGACTGCAAAGGTGGGTTCAGCAAGCCTCCATACCAGGAATGCTAGTCCTCCATGAACACCTCTTATACCCCAACATACATGAGAAATGGTCAGCCAGCTTTTCCTTGAGCTAAAGGGAAACCTACTGCCTCCCAAGGTAGTTCATTCCATACTTTGACAGCTCAAGTTTCTAGAAGTTTTTCCAAAATCAAACCTGAGTTTGCTTCTTTGTAACTTCCAGCTATGACTTCCCCTGCCTGGCAGAAAAAGTCTAATCTTAGTTCCACCTTATAAATTTTAACATACGTTAATTCAGTTTAATTCTATTCAACTACCATTTATTAAGCATTTGTATTGTTCAGGGCACTCTGCTAGGTGCAGCAGACACAAAGACAGAAGCTAAATTCCTTCCCTCAAGGAGCTTGCATTCTACTGGGGAGATAACAATGTAAATGGTCTATGTACACAGATTAGTGTGAAGTGAAAAGCAGAGATTGTAGTTAGGGAGTCAAATAATTAGAGGATCAGGAGAACCCCAGTGGAAGGAAGGGGTACACTGGCTGAACCATGGAGGGTATTAGGGATCTCAGGAGGTAGAAGCACATTCCAGGACTCGAAGATGGAGTGTCTAATATGCTTGGAAAGTCAGGCTAGAGCCAGATTATAAAAGATTTTTATGTCATCATCCTAAAAGTAATAGGGAGCAACCAAAATTTCTTGAGCAGGAGAGTAACAGGATCAGACCTGTGCTTTTTTGAGGAAACTCAATTTGACAAGCATATTGAGGATGAATTAGAGAAAAAAGGGACGAGAAACAAAGAGGTCAGTTAGTAACCTATTGCAATAGTTCAGGTAAGAGGTGATGGATGACTGGAATAGGGTGGTGGCTGTGTTAGTGGAGAGAAGAGGATGGCTGCTCAAGATGCCATGGAAGAAGAATGAACACAATTTGGCAAGTGATTGAATATATGGGGATGGAGGTGGTGAGGGAGAGGGAAACAGTGATGACAGCTCTCAAGTAACAAGACTATGGGACTGGAAGAACTGTGCCCTTGACAGAAATAGAGAAGTTAGAAAGGTGAGTAGATTTGGGGAGGAAAATGAGGAGCTTCTCTGAGAGGGAGAATCGTGAACCTCTATGGGGTCTCTTTTCAAGGCAAAACTTGCCTAGTTCTTTCAACTGATGCTCATAAGGCAAGATCTTGGATGGATGAATGAATGAATGAGTTCCAGAATCCGTGAACGAATGACTCCCGTGCCAGTAGCACAGCTGGCTCATCTGCTTTTTAGTTTTAGTCTTCATAACCCCAGGGACAAACAAATGTTACCAGTGGCAGAGGGGAGAAAATATTTTGACTGAGCATCAGCAAAGCTGGGTTTGATTCTTGTCTCAGTTAGGAACTTCATGTGTGACCTTTGTGAAGTCATCTTGCCATCCTGGTTATCCTCCTCTGGATTTTCTAATGTATTGTTGTTTGTTATATTGTCAATCAGCTTCGTGACCCTATTCGGAGTTTTCTTGGCAAAGATACTGGGATGGTTTGCCATTTCCTTCTCCAGCTCATTTTGCAGATTTGCAGACTGAGGCAAATACCATTAAGTGACTTGCCCAGGGTCACACAGCTAGTAAGTGTCTAGGGCTGAATTTGAACTCAAGTCCTCCTGACTCCATGGCTGGCACTCTATCCACTTCACCATCTAGCTGCCCTCTAGATATTGTGGAGTCCTAACTGAACCCAATAGTGTTGCTAAACAAATACAGCATGAAACTGGGTAGTGCCTGGGAATATACCAGTGACCCAGGAAATAATGAAGGTGAGTCAGCAAGTGGCACTTTTCCTAGTCTCAGATGTGTATTCTCAAACTAAAATATGGAAATGACCAAATCATACCATTAATCTTAAAAGCCTGATTTCCACCTTCCACCCTCCTTGATCTCCCTAATTATCTTCTGCCTTCTTTTATTTCCTGTTTCACTCTCTTCAGCAGGATTGTTAAGCTTTAGACAGCTTCAGACCAATTTCTTTCTCATCTCTTCCTCCTTCTAACTCCTGGCATGGTTCTGGGCATATAGCAAGAGTTCCATTAACCAAGACAAAGAAGCCTCACCTACTTTCTCAATTTCACTGAGGCTGCAGCACTCAGCTTTCTTTCTTTTGGTGGGTCATCTCTTCTAATGACACCAAAGATGACCAGAGCTTCTCCAACCCACATAAACTCTCTCTTTAGGGCCTACCGATAGTTGTACCTGGAATGGGGCCACCAGAGCCTTGCCCTAGGATACTGCCATGGAGTAAAGATGGATATTTACTTCTTCCTGAAAACAGGATGCTTACAATCACTCAGCTTTGTCCTGCTCCTGGGTCCTCTCCCAGGCTTCTCTTTCCCTCCATTTCCGAGGACTGGGGAATCAGAGGTGAGTTGTGAGTCATACTGTGGGATCATAGGCCAGACAGATCCTCTGGGGGATGATTGCCCATAGTCCCTGTATGACTGAACCCAATTGGGCAGAATGCCATGAAGAACACTTGTGACCTTCCTCCTACTCAGAGACAGGAAGCCTGGGGGTCTCTGTCTTCCCCTTCAGCCACATAGGGTAGTATCTCAGACTCTCTGTCTCTCCTCATGTGGCCTTGTCCTGAGAAATGCCTCATGCCTCACTCCTTCCCAATGAATTTGCTCCAGGGCCTAAAATTCCTGTTATATTTCCATTCCTGGTTTAGCCTGCCAACTGTGTTATAATTTTTTATTTAAATTTTCTTTTTTTCCTTTTAAATTTCAGTAATCAACAAACACGTTCTAATGTACAAAGAACAAAAAAGGATTGTATGTGAAACAGTAAACTTTTGTTACATATAGTTTTTGAAAGTATATATAAAACTCAACAAAATAGTAACAAAATGATACATATATTTTCCTAGGTTTCCTGCATGTTGCCTTTGAGTCAGAAGAGTCCCCTAGGTCTTTGAGTCCCCAAAGTATCCTTTGGCCCTTAATTTCATGAACCTTTGACATGCGTCATATTTATATCCTTCCCATGCCTAGCACAGAACCTTACTCATAGTAGGTATTCAATAAATATTTGTTGAATTTAAAAATAATTTTTTTAAAATCAATTGGGTTAGGTGACATGCCCAGGGTCACATAGCTAGCAAGTGTCAAGTGTTTGGTCTGAGGCCAGATTTGAACTCAGGTCCTCCTGACTTCAGAGCCAGTGCTCTATCCACTGTGCCACCTAGCTGCCCCCTTCAAAAAAAATTTTTGGAGTTTATTTACCAATATACACATGAACTATATATAATTATAAAACACTGTTACAGAAATGCAGGTAGACCTAAATAATCAGAAAGATATCAGTCGCTCATGTTTGGACCTTGTCAATATAATAAAAATGACAGCACTACTTAAATCAGTGCGCTTATTCAACACTATACCAATCAAACTGTCAAAGGATTACTTTTTTTTTTTAAGGAGGTGATTGGTATTAAGTGATATGCCCAGGATCACAGAACTAGTAAGTATCTGAGGGTAGATTTGAACTCAGGTCCTTCTGACTCCAGGGCCAGTGCTCTATCTGCTGTGCCACCTAACTGCCCCTATTACTTAATTTTTTAAATTCAATTTTATTTTATTTTTGATTCCAAATTCTCTCCCTCCTTCCTCTCTGACCCCCACTCATTGAGGAGGTAAGAAAAATAAAATATGAAAATATAAAATAAAAAAAATATATCTATAATATATAATATGACATCAATGAACACATATTTATACATAAATATACTTAATTTTTAATTAATTTAATTAAACTTAATTTAAATGAAATTAAAAAATAAATAAAATAAAATTTAATTACTTAATTAAATATTTAATAAAATGTATAAATAAACATATATAAAAAAAACTGATATGCACACATATAGCATATATAAATATATATTTCATACAAGTCATACAAAACAAATTTCTGCATTATCCATATTTTTTAAAAATCAAGAACAAGAAAGAAATCGAAGAAAATATGCTTCAATCTGCATGCTCAGTTCATCATTTCTCTGTCTGGAGGTGAATAGTATGTTTCATTATGAGTCCTGTAGAACTGTGTTTAGCCATTATACTGATCAGAGTTCCTAAGTCTTTCAAAGTTGATTCTCTTTACAATATTTTTGTTACTATCTGGATTATTCTTTTGATTCTGATCACTTCACTTTGCCTCAGTTCATACAAGTCTTTCCAGGTTTTTCTGAAACCATCCTTTTTTGTCATTTCTTACATCACAATAGTGTACCGTCACATCCGTGTTACTGTAATTTTTCATATGTTTTTTATTGTTTTTATTGTTCATTTATTTCACTGGTTCAATGAGCACTTATTGAGTTCATGCTTTAAAAAATGTACACCCCCAAGGGAGTTACTAACAATGTTTCTTGAGAATTTCCAATCCACAAAAATCAAACAAGGAAAAAAGAGAGAGGAACAGTTAAGTGGTTCAGTAGATAGAGCACCGGCCCTGGAGTCAGGAAGACCTGAGTTCAATCCCAGCCTTAGACATATGATACTCACTAGCTGTGTGACCCT